AGGTATTTGTGGATTGCCAACCCAAGGATGTCTATGTCTTGCTCCCCTTGCCGGGGACTCCTTCCTGACACATCCCGGGATTCCACATAAAGTCCAACACCAGAAAGACGCTGAAGAGGAGGGCTGCAATCCTCTGGGACAGTAAACAGCTGGGCATCTTTGGGTGATGCCTTGCCATGCACTGCCGTCTGAAAGAACCATCCCCAAACCTTCAAGAGCTGCTTGTCCAACATCCTTGCGCCACTTCGGACAGAAACCACAATTGTGCCACTTTTGCAGAATTTGCAGGTGGCCAAAGCAGGAACATGTGTTTGCAGGATCTGTGATCTGCTGCTGAAATTCTCGCCAATCGCCTTGCCACTCATCTCGATCCAGATGGAGTTTCAAAGTGCATGTAGGAACAGTATCAACTCGAACTGCCTTGTGAGCAAAATGGGCTCTGACGTGGCCTTGTATTCAGCAGCAAAACGAACTTCTCCTGATGGCAAAAGCCCTTGAAGATCCGCCGGTGCAACTGTGACCGTCAAAAAACCCAAAGAAATTGCTTTGGCAGCCTGCAGGAAGCCCATAATCTGGGAGGGCGAGACAATCGCCAAAGGTCTGGTCTTCGCCGGGAACACTGAGGCACTTCTCGTCCCGAAGAGTCCACAAAGCATCCTTTGTGCAGAACCAATTCCATAGGATCAAGCACAGATGTGCCTTACACTTGGGCACTCCCACAAACTGGGCTGCTTTGCTTTCAATGTAGCTCTGCAATTCATCCTCTTTTACCCAAAAGTCTTGCTTTTGCGATCAGTGAGAGCTTTGAGCTTGCGCCAAGGATTGTCCGATTGTTTGGCTTAGGGAGATGGCCTTAAGCGCTTTTCCAATCCTTTGCTCAACCTTCTCTTTCGACACTCCTTTCTCACAGAGGAAGGTCTTCAGCCATTCTGGAATCACCTGATATGAATTGCCTTCACCAGTCGGCGCAAAAGTCCTCCACTTGAGCAATTGCCTGGGTAGTTTCATGGTCAGCGTCCACAATGACCCCAAGGAGCCATGCCATGTGACAATCGCAAGTGCCCTACAGATAGAGTCCTTTCTCTGAACAAGAAGATTGGTGCGGTTCAGCTCAAAATAAGTCTTGCCCAATGCCTTCTGGAAGGCCTGAAAGAAAGAACGAACCTCAGCCAAGATAGTTCCAGTGCGAGCATCAGGGAAGAGCGCCAGAAGCATGTCCTCCGTCCATCTCACATGAACAGCCAGCCAATGCCCCTCAGAAACAATCAGCATCATCGCTTCCATCGTGCCACGTTGATCCAGATGTCGGCAAATGCGCTCCTCCAGTTGACATGGAGAGAGGCCCCCATGAGGTTGTGGGCCTTGATGGGATTCACACACACAAGGTCACCCTTCTCTCTGGTAATTTCATCAATGAGACCACTATCCAGGCCCTTCTTCCCAAAATTTCGCACTGGACCCAGTGAAATTCAACAGCAAGGTGGGTGTTGATGCACTCAATGAGACGAGCGCATTCCGGGTCTGTCTCATCCAAGAACCCCTCCGGTTCATAGGCATCCATCTCAAACTCGTTCTCACCTGCTCCCCAAAGTCTCGTGGTGGCAGCAATTCGAACTGGATGGAAACGCGGTCAGAAAGAGCCATCGGCTCCGAGTATGTGACATTGTCGAACGAGGCCAAAAGGCAGGCCCGCCTTCACAATTGCAAGTTCCAGAGGAGTCCCCTACAAAACCCCGACAAAGGTCAAAGTCTCTTCAAAGACGAACCGGATCTTGATCTTGCCCCCAAAGTCAACAAACAGCTCCCCTCTTCTTGGTCGTCTGATCCAAAACATATTCGCTGGAGGTCAAAAGCACATGACTTGGAAGCACATGTCCTTGGATCATGAGATCCCCCACCGTAGGGCCCTGAGTAAACACCAGATCCTGACACCCCGAATCACCCCAGACTCGGGCGACTGATGAAGAGACGAAAGCGGAGGCCAAGTCACCCTCCTCTGCCACAGGATCAGGGCCTGATACTTGAGCAAAGCATTTCTGGATTATTCTGGATGGCAAATCCTCGAAAGGCTTGGAAGAATTCCCCCCTTATTGAGCCTCCATCACCACCCACACAACCTGCATAGCGGAAACAGCATTGCCCAAGACACTCAACATCGCCCTCTAGTTTGCCAATGAAGCTGACGGCGTCCAATGTCATCATGAGCTGATGTCACGACCGGTCCACGAAGACCTGAGGTTTCCAGCCTAGAATACTTGAAGCCACCACACGGACAGCTTCTCGTAGCAGATCCCCATGAGTGAAGAGCTGTTTGGCATACTACCCTCAAGGCTAAGAATCCTGTCCCCCCTCGTGAGCTTGTTGTCAAAGCGTGTGTCCGGGATTCAGTTCGTTGACTGTGACTTTGTCCTTGGCAACACGCCTTCACTTCTTTTCATACCGTTGGGGAACCACGCACCTTCTCGATATTCTCTAGAGGCATTGAGAGGGAAACAGGAGAGGCAAACAGTGATTTTACAGACTTAATTACGTGCCAGCAAGGATGTGTCACTCCAAAGGGCGCGGGTCCACGCGTGCTCAGGCTTGCTTTTACCAGCAGAGGCTGTGACAGCAGAAAAGTTGTGAGCCAGGGAAGTCGGTCTATTTTCAAGGGGCAGATCATGCACCATCTCATCTCCAATATTGCCCGGCCAGTATTCCAACTAAGTTAGACTGTAATAACTGTAATAGTTGAGTCCAACTAACTTTTGATGGCTGATGGACAGCGGCAGTTTTATGACTCACAAGTTTCAATCCTTCCAGACGCGGTCTCAACTGAGATTGTTTGTTGTGAGGTCCTTGGAGCAGACTTCCACATGTGGCAAGACATGTCACGATGCATTCCGCTGTATTTTGGGCCCTAAGAGGACGGACGTTTGCAGAGCTAGCCACGACTCCTTGGTGATCCGTACAGCCGTACAGCTTGCAGGAGCAGCTGTTGGGCAGAGTCTTGCAATGTAGTTTCTTGTGGTGGAGATGTTGAAGAAACTTGCCAGTTCGCAAGAGTTGCAAACATCTAGCAGAACCCTTTTTCTTCCTGTGATTCTGTGATTGACTGTCAGCTTGGAGCACCTCAGTTCCAAAACAGGGGTGTGATACACATTTCCTGAATAGAGAGCAACCTGGAGGCCCATTTATTGCTTTGTTTTTGCTGGTTTGGTTTGTTCGTTTCCAAGCCTAGTTCACGGGAAATCACTGGAGCGTCCTTTCAGGATCAATGAGTGCTAGTGCAGGCAAGACAGGGGAAGCGTCCGATCTTTGTGTTATAGACGGTGAGTATGGAGCACTTTGTTGGCAAAGAGTAAAGGCAAAACCCATTATAGAATCTGTGCCTTGCCAGGACACATGTATAGAGTTCGTTAACTTTTCATTATCAAGGGTCACTTGCGGAACAATTCTTTGGCAGAGCATGAGGTAAATTGGGTTGAATGCACTCTCCTTGGCATGTCGGTCTTGAATAGGACCTCGTCAGGGAAGATGGACCCACATTCGCCCTTTGCACTTGTGTGATGCAAGCAAGGTGACACCTGATTTGTAAAGCCACGGTCCATACACTTGAAGATGGATCTTCTAGAAAAAGTCATCCAATCTGAAAGGCCTGGGTCCATGTGCTGTTTGTAGGCTATAGGTTTATGTCTGTATAGGTTGTAGACTAGGTGTGATAAGAGGGAGGGCAACCAAGCAGAAGTCCTGATTTGTGAGGCCACGGTCGATTGGCATAGGCTTAAAGATGGGTCTTTCTGCAAAGTCGAGGGCGTTGGAGGGAACTTTTTGGTCTGACAAGCTTCATCCAACTCCGATATAGTTGGCGAGGTGCAGAGGTTGATGCCAAAGGTGAGGGGCTCAGAATGGGCTCAGAGCTTGCGCAAGGCTGGTCCAAGTCACTCAAGTTGGGATGTGGAATGGATTTGGAGATCAGAATTGCAGCTTCAGAATCTTCAGGTCGTGCATTTGTTTAAATATCCGGAGGCCCTGACTGCAGAGCCATCACCCACTGGTCCCTAAACCGAGAGTGGAAAACTTTCGACCTCACATCGTCCAAGGCCGGTCCGCGCTGCACCTCGCCGCCTTCAACGGGGAGAGGGAGGAGGTTGAGCGGCTTGTGACTTCAGGAGCTGAGATTGAAGCCACAGACAAGGAAGGCTGGGCGCCCCAGATCTCCGCGTGTGCATTTCAAAACGTGAAAGATTGGAACATGCTTTCCCCAAACTTAGTTGAAGAATGTCGACATGCTTTGGCAGCCGGAAAAAATGAGCCAGCAGAGCCAGAGTCAACCTTGAACAACCTTGGAACATCTTGGAAATATTTGGAAGCTGCATGAAGTTGGCTGATTTTGCAGCTTTGTGGGTCCGAAAGTCCCTGCCACATTAAGGCCCTTTCATTGAAATGGATAGTGTTTCGGCTTCATAGTCTTCATACACCCCAGCAGCACGCATGGATCGAGCCAATTGAAGTCCAGTCGATTCAGTCTTAACAAGGCCAGATTAAAAAGGCAAGAAAAAGATGCTTGTTTGTTGCCCATGGTCCGCATGGATCCGCATCCTTTTGCACCTCTGAGGCTTCACTCCATTGCATTTGGCTTCCGAAGCGGGCCGCCTGGACGTGGTCGACCGGCTCACCGAAGCCAAGGCCGACTTGGAAGCGAAGGGTGGCCCATCCCGCAGGGAGCCCCAGAGGCTTGGAAGGCTCGGAAGGTCGGAAGGTCGATCAGATTCTGGTCGTGTTCGGCCTGAAAATGGAAGCGACAAAGAGACGCGTGACAGGCTTGAAAAAATTACAGTAAATTGATGGGGCAGTGTGCCAGGGTTCAGTTGATTCATGTCTCAAAAAGGCCATAAGAGGATGCTCTTATCAATGCGGTACAATCACTGGTATGCACGTTCGCGGAAAAGTCTTTGATGTTTGGTGCACGGTCAACTCGAGCAGAGGCCACTGGACGCAATAGCCTTTGCAATGGAGAAACTTCCAATTTGCTGGGTGTTCGTCGTCAAGAGTCCTGCCCATGGTGCCCCACAATAGCGTCATGGAATGTGATAGACATGCTCGCTCCCAAGCAAAAGAGATGGCCTGCCATTCTTCATGAATTGAGAGGGGCATCAACTTTTCAATCACGGTGTCTTAAACCAACTTCTTTCCACGTTTTTTCCTCCACCTCTCCCGGAGAAAACCAAGTCCTGTCGACTCTTCGGCGCCGCCACCGCCGAGGCCTTACGCCGCTGCATTGGGCGGCGGAGAAGGGCCACCCCGCCACGGTGGACCGGCTCGTGGCGGCCGGCGCCGCCGTCGACGCGAAGACCAGCCAGGGCCGGGGCACCACGGAACGGCGGCGCCACGGATCGGGCTCAAAGGACCGGTTTGGGAGTGGAAAGTCTCCGGTTTTTCCGCCGGATTTGTCATTCTGATCAGGTCAAAAGGACGAGTTCGGAAGGGAGAACCAGAAAGAGTGCGAATCTGGATGAGTCGTGAGTCATGATGAGTCAAGAAGACAATGTCAAGGATGAATGTGGAGCAATTGAATCAACTTCTTCCTGGCTTCATTCAATGCTGTGCCAAAAACTTGGGATTGGTGGTTGTTTTGTGCCCTGCAGGCGACAGAACATGAATGGAGAGAGCTAGAACCAGGAGATCTCAAGACTAAGCAACACACCGGTGAGATTTCGAGCATACGCAAACAGAGTTCCAAATGTCCAAAGTGACCACCCATTCTTCATGAGTTGAGAGGGGCATCAACTTTTCAATCACGGTGTCTTAAACCAACTTTTTTCCACGGTTTTTCGTCCACCTCTCTCCCGGAGAAAACCAAATTCCTTTCGACTCTTCGGCGCCGCCACGGCCGAGGCTGGACGCCGCTGCATCTTGCGGCGTGGCACGGCCACCCCGCCACGGTGGACCGGCTGGTGGCGGCCGGCGCCGCCGTCGACGCGAAGGAGGACATCAGTGGCCGGGGCACCACGGAACCTCTTTCGGGTTCAGCGGATCGGGCTCAAAGGACGACGAGAGAATTATGACGAAGGACGAGAGGGAGTCCTGTTGGGTGAGGTCCTCGAAACTAAAGGGGAGAGTTGGATCCAAACTTGCATGTTGATTCATCTTATTTTCCTGATCCTTTGATGGTTTTGTTTGTGCAACTGTTTGAATGCAAGTCAGACTTCGTGAACCCCGAGAATCCCCCCAAAAAAAGCAAAGCAAATCCGTGAAACCCTCCAAAAGGATCCAACTCGACGTGCACGCGCCTCTCCGCTGATTCCCTTCCTGCAGACCCTTCAAAAGAGGAACTATTCTCCGCTCGTCCTCCGCGCCGCGTCCTGAGGTCAAACGCCTCTCCACTACGCGGCCGTCTCCGGCCACTCCGACGCGGCGCAGCGCCTGGTCGACCTTGGCGCCGACGTCGACGCCCAAAACAACGCCGGCCTGGGGCGCCCGGATGAGCGGAGAGCGGAGCGGGTCGGGGTCGAGGTCTCTCGGCTTCTTCGCTGGCGACGGGTCGCTTGCGCCGAAGCACAGCGCGGCCGAGGCCAAACGCCCTGGGAGTTGGCCCAAAGGCATGGCCGCAAGACGCGGATGGCGCCGGTTCTGCGTCCCGTGCCTTGGCAGTGCCTAAGTCGGGTGATGGGCTCCCAGGAAGAGAGCGGGTCGAGAGGAGGGAAGGAAAAAAAGGGGTTCTCGTTATAGGGGCGGGTAGGTTTTTTTTTTGGATGGAGGATTTGTGATTTGGATGAGGTGCTGCATAGCTCTTGGCACCACCAGACCATGTTTCATTGATTTCGTTTGATTTAGTTTCCGTTTTTGAACTGGTGGATTTGTTGCGAGTTTGAATTGGCGAGTGTTCTTTTCTTGTGTGATTTCTTCAAACCTTTGAGAGATGATGAGGGATGTTGGACTCGGCGCATTTTGGAGCTTAGACTTCGTAACGGAAAAAAAGCAGCTGTTGAAGCAACAATTGTCCGTCCTCCTACCCTCGCTTTCCATGATTGCTTTCCTTTTTTCAAACCTGGCATGGAAGAATTGCGCTCTCGCTAGATGGGACCATGTTTGTTCTGGTTACATGCTTTGCACCAAATCAACCAGCAAGTGCGCGACCTGACAATTCATTGCTTGACTTGCAAGGAGAAGTTCCCCCCCGGATTCCAATTTGGTCGTTCATGCGCTCACAGACCAGTTCCCCAAGCATGTCAATGGACCACCAACACCGTGCAGCGGCAATGCCGGTTTGGAACGTCATTCCACATTGAAAGCAAGTTCTTATGTAGTTGAGAGTGTTTAATGTTTCTGCGAGTGTTTTAGTTCACAGGGCTATAATATTTGTTTGATAATCTGAAATCAGGTCTGGGTGCCATGTGAGCTTTATCACTGGCAACAGAGTGTCAGTTTGTTCTTTCCAGATGTTCGGCGGCTTTGCAGACTTTTCAGGTGTATGTCTCTTCCCTTGGTGGACGAAGCGTGCCCTGCAGCTTGGCAATGTTGACCAGTTGTGTGCGTCAGCTGACCATTTTGGTTCACCTCTCGAGGTGGTCACTGGCCAGAGCGGCGTGTGATTGAGCTCAAAGCAGAGGCCGAGTAGCTCGGATGCAACTGGCCCTTTTTTGGGAAAGTTCAACGATGCATGTTGATACACTGCTCTGGGGGGGGCCAACGATGTTTCTGCTGCGTGGCGAGAAGCTGCTGTTTGCAGCCGCCTGTGCGTTTGTGCCATTGCTTTATGTCTGAGGCAAAAGCTTGGCTTCAAGATTTGTGAGCTAATCACTAGCTCTGGCGAGCCTCTGTGCCTTGCATGTTTTACTGGTGTGAGTTCAACATAAATAGATCGCTCCTCAAGCGCAATTCCGAAATACATTTGGCTACCTTTTGCCAACCGTGGGCGCCGCTGACTGAAGGACAATGTCAAACACATCCTTCAATTGCTAAATCAGTTCTCGCGGCTGGATTTCAAGATTCTATAGATCCTGATATATCCTCCTGACTCCTTCAACCCCTTCAGTTTCGATCAAATCCGTGAGAAATGTCGGGATAAGATACTTGATATACTTCGGTCCATCCCACCATGTGGCAATGCATTTGATGCTTTTTGATGTCTTTGATGTGGGTCCCACAACTGGGGTGCTTGCAGCGGCTTGATACTACAGTGAGTTGTGTCAGGCAGGAAACGTTGACCCTGGAAGAAGCCGGGATCAACTGCAGGGATCATATGACTGCGGTTGCTTTGGCTTGATGGCCCAGTGGTGCGAGCGACTGTCAGTTGGAACACGCTCAATCAAAACGCGTTTGAGATGAAAGCACCCTTCCTCATCCTCCTAAAGTTGATTACTTCGCAGATGTCCAATTGCATCCTCGCGTTGTTGAGATGTCTATGCCTGTTTGTGAGGTGCCAACAGATCTTACAGAATCTCCAGACCATCATGCAGCGCGGCCAGCAATCAGCTCACTTGACGTTAAGCCATCCCATGGGACCACTCAAGTGTCGACACGCTGCAGGATCACTCGAAGTGACACGACCCTGCGTGGGAATATTTTGGGATACTTTTCTGCCCATGTGAATTTGATGGTGACCAGCAAACAAGCCAGTATACCCCAAAACAGCCCGAGTCGGCCTGAGACAAAACGAGTCCAATCATTTTGTGGATTTGAATTCACGTTGCTAGGTGTAGAAGGCTTGTACGGCAGTCAAGAAAGTCTAACTCGCTAAGGGTTAGGTTGCTGGACATTGGGAGAATCGGGCAGGTATAGCAAGTCTGACAATCTAAGTGAAGATAGTCAAGGTTCAGGAGCTTTGAAGAAATGCCGAGGCATCTGGCCGCCAGTCTGGTGAGTTTGCAGCTGGAGATGCGCGTGGCAGCAACCAGGCGCAACTTGTTCTCCTATCCAGTTCACCCATCTGCAAAAAGGGTTGACTAAGCACCAATCTGCAGGTTTGTACCCACCTTTTGTAAAGAATTGAGATACGTTTGTGCGCGCTGAAATCAGATTCTTAACATTTGGCTACGTGTTGGGGTTTGCGTGAGAGGTCAATATCCTCACAGGTGGATGTGTTGTATTCTTCTTTGTTCAGACCCAGAAGCACAGTTTCCTCGGATGTGTGCTGCGAGTTGTGACCTACAAGCTCAATGGTTTGATTTTATTGTCTATTCAGGCCACAAGGATTTGTTGCCGGAACACCCAGTCCTGGGTCGTTTTCCCCATGAAATCGCTCTCTTTGTGTGCCGAAACGCCAGGAAGTTAGTGCTTCACAAAGTGCGCCTCAGGCTCCGAAAAAAGTTGAGAAGCAATCGCTTGTTGTTTTCATGTTAGTTCAAAGT